TGTCACCCAGCCCCAGGTTCCCCACTGGGAGAAGACCAGAAGCCATTTTTCTCCTGATGGCCACAGTGGGCTGCTACTGATGGCTGAGTCCTTGCTGGGTAGATGGGTTTCGGGAGTGGTCTGGCAGCTCCTGAGTCAGAGCTGTGCTCTTAACCAACTACCAGGGGAAAATGGGCCCTAGAGGAGAGTGTGCCATCCTGGGGAAATAATTTTCACTGGTGAACTTGTGCCTCTCAGTTCCACAAAGGTAACGTATCTGCCCAAGTTTCCAGACAATGCTCTGAACTTACTGAACTTTAACCCCTGAGAAGAGAGAAAATATAATGTTGACTATTCTTAGTCTTCCATCTCTCAGTGGTGTCCTGATAGAATTTTCGGCACAGAAGGGAACCATCTGATAGAATTTTCAGCGCAGCTAAAAAGATAAGAAATATGAAATAAAAGTGGCCTTTATTTTAAGAATGTGGAGAGAGACTCCATGACCTCTGGGGGTCTGGCATTTTCTCCGCCAGACACGCGGTGTGGGGGCATACATGTAGCTTAGGTTTGGGGTGGTGCCTAAGGGGCATTAGTGATGCACAGGCACAGGTAGGCCATTAGTATTCATTTCGAGCCACAGGTAAATTGCCTAGGGGCGGGAAAGGTGACCTCAAATAGAGACCCTTGGTTCCGCCTCCCACTAGCTAGTGTCCCATCTGGGGCAAGATCCTTTCAGTCCTTGGCCAGAAATCTGCCTATCTGATGGTATTTGTAAAGCATTTTATCTGAGCATAAGAATGAATAATGTAGACCTCAAGCGAGGTCCCCTTTTAGTAAGGGAAGCTAGGCAATAAACAGACACACAGACAAGTTACTTCAATTCAGATTGCGTTAAGTACTTTGAAGGACCCAAGATGGGTGACGTGGGAGATTTTGCAGGGGTGGTCAGAGCTGGAAAGGGGCAGAGGGGATAAAGGAGCTGGGGGCCAGAAGAAGACCCACAGCATAGAGGGTCCAGTGCTGAGCGCGTCGGCAGGAGCCGACCTGCTCTACTGAGAAAACAGGAAGCTGGCACCTGTGCAGGGGATCAGGCAGTGCATGAGGCCGAGATGGGCAGGGGGGTCACAGAGGACAGGGGCGAGTGTGACTTTGTTCCAGATGCTCAGGGAGGCGGCTGGCAGGTTTGAGGCTGGAGGACATCAGCAGAGTTGAGCCTCGTGTGGATCCTTGCACCTGCGGATGGAGGTGAGACTGAACCTGGACAGACACTCCAATTAGGAGACCGTGGGTCTTCAAGGCCAGAGAGGAGAGGAGACGGAGGGCGGACTGATGGATTCGATGCAGACAGACAGAAACTGGAGCTGAGAAAGCCTTGTAGATTCTGACCAGAGGAAAGGAAGTGCTGGGGTCAGACTTCTGCGTTCCTAGCTCAGCAGGTCTGTACGCCCCTGTGAGACCGTGGTCACCGGGATCTTGTGTTTGTCGCACTGGAAGAGCTCTGTCGTCAAAGTGAGCAGGACCTCACACACAGCTAGAAAAGGACCAAGGACAAGGACAGCTGCGGGGCAGAAATAGCAAGGACGAGCTGGTTTCTTTCCTGCGCCCCTTGCCTTTTGCAAGAATGCTATCAACCACTTCTTGTCCCTAAGAGTGCCCCTTCCGATTGTGAGCAAAGCCACGGTCATGAAAAGTGACCCTTGCATCCTTTGCAGCCTCAGCTGTCTCCTCTCTTCCCCATCATCTCCTGCTTCGCTGGGCCAGGAGGGAGCAGAGGGTGGGCGAGGAGACGCCAGAGGAGGGTGGGGAGAAGGTGGGGAGGAGGTTGGGGTTCCTGGGAAGAGGAGGCAGAGATGCTGCAGGCTTTGCTCCTGGGCCTCTCCTCCCTCACTTACTTGGCTCAGGGCTCCTTCCAGGAGCACCGAGTGCGCACCCTGACAGGAAGACGCACAGCTGGAAGGCGAGCTGGGGTAAGAGGCCTCGGCCTTGCATCCCGTGGCTCTGCCCCAGGTTCACCCTGCAACAAGAAAGCAGGCTTAGCAGAGCATTAATGTCAAGGTTTCATAATCTCCTGTTCGGCCGCAGCTGGTGGTGCAGCTTGGAGTCCACTGGATCCCATTATATAACAGATGGTTCTGTTTTCAAATTTTCTCCAAGTGTTCCGACGGATTTTTTCTTTTCCTTCACTAAATTCATATTTCCCATCTGACACTACCCCCTGGGGCCAAACTTTCATCTGGGGTGCAATTTGGAAGGTCTCTCCCTGGCCTGGCCTTTAAAACTCCCAATAGCAGGAGACTCCCAAGCCCTGCCCCCCACCGCCCCAGGGGCTGGCCAGGCATGGTGCAGGAGGACAGCAGTCCTTCCCACCAGTGGGTCTGGTCTCCACCGTCTCCAGCCGCAGGTGGGCTCCCTGCGCTCCACTAGGAGAAGCCAGCGCCCTGGAGATGAACAGCGCGTTCCCTCCCTCGGGTAGCCCTGGTTAGCACATCAGCATTCCTAGTGGAGATCCAAGCTCCTCCAAAGGAGAATAAAAGGCCTAACTATTACTGGCCCATTGTGTGTCTCTTAATTGTGTCACCCTGGCCCTCAGCAGGGTTCCCCTGCTCATTATTTCCAGCCTGGGCTCCTCTGCGGTCGGTCCCCTCTCCTCTCACCAGCCAGCTGCCTACAGCTGTCAGCCGCCCACTCCCGCCCGGCCTTCCTGGTGTTTTCATCTTCCTGCCAGCATTGTGAAATTTAATTTATAGCAAAAATGTTCCCCAGGCCTCCCTTTCTTTACGAATCTCTGGTCGCTTCCGCCATGTAGAAACCTCCCTCGGTTTCCGAGCACCTGTTCCTGGGGACTTCCTTTGGACAGCGGTGCTTTTTGTTTGCCCAGGTCTGTGTTTTCAGGAATGAAACAGGAAGCAGAAGAGAGTCTGGGGGCCGCGCGAGGGGTGCTGGCTGGAGAGCGGCGCACAGGGGGCAGGCGCTGGTTTGGACCCCTTCTTCTGAGGGGTCGTCGCACCAGCCTCCAGCCTCTGGACCACATAGATCAGGGAGCCAGGAGACTGGGAAGTCATAGGGTAATGGAGTTGGCGCCCCCTAGAGTTGTTCAGAGCGGCAACTTTCCAGGAGAGCCCAGAGACAGGGGCCTTGCGGTTCACATCCCTGTGGCTGAAGATCATTTTGGTCACTGTGTCTAAGGCCACTGTAAAGAAAGGAGCCACTTCGTTATTCCCTGTAAGGAATAGAGCCATCTTGTTATTCCCATCGAGCAGAAATTGTGGGGCCAATGGAAATGCATGGGAACAGACCCCCCTCAAGGCTGACGGGGCCCTCGGGGAGCCCGGGCTCTCGTGTAACCACAGGGCTCTGCCCCTGTGGGCTTGCTCAGGACACTGGAGCTCCGGTGTAACCATGCTTAGGCTGCTGGACAAGGCCAGGCCTCCTTGCACGTGTGTGAGGAAGAGGCCATCTCTTAGGTCAGTCGAATGAATGATAGATAGATCTTCACATGGAAAACTAAAAATACTTTCTTAAAGTCTCCCTGTCCTACTTTTAGTCTCTTGGATGTACACATTCAAAATCGTGTACCTCGGGGCAGCAGAGGTGTCAGTCTGACGCCAAGCCCTGGCAGCAGGCTCAAAGCTGCGGATCCGCGATCGTGGAAGGCAGGTGATATTTTAGATTTTCTAGTTTTATATTATTTCTCTGAGCTTCTTTCCGGGGGAAGACAGAGGAAGTGTATTCAGGAGAATTATTCTTAGACATACAGCGCACCTTCCTGGAAGAAAGTCTTTGATGAATTTCTAATGGAGGAAGGTGAAATCCCAAGGAGGTGGCTGCGGAACCGATGCAGGTTAGACAATGACAAGAACTCGCGTGGATCCCCAAGGGGCAAGGGAAGGGCAAGAGGAAAAGATGGAACGGGGAAGGGAGGTGAGAGTGGAGGTAAGGACCGGCCCCGCTCAGGAGCAGACCAAGAGGGACACGCCTCGTGGCCCGCAAACGAGGGACTTCAGGGTAACAAGTGTTACCCTAAGGAGGGATTTGTCCCCATATATCTGATACCTAGGCCATAAGGCCGCCTTTCCCCTGAACTGCCACATGGCATTTTAGTAGAGTCTGGATTGTGTAGGATTGTAGCATGCATGCGTGTGTGTGCGTGTGTGTGTTTGCACATGTACATAAATCCTTTTTGGGGAGTGTGAATAACTGCTGATGTCTCGTGTGCTGTTTGAGTTAGAGCTCAGGCAGAGACAGCTTCTGGGAACAGCATAGCCTGGCAGAAGGAACCCAGAGTTGTAAGATCCTGACAGATTTCTGGACTTCCCAGGGTCCCTTCCTTGGTGATAGAGGGGCTCAAGAAGGCTGAAAGGACTTTCCCCTGGACAAGGGACAGGGAGGGCTCCAGTGACATCGAGTTTTCTTTCCTGTTGTGGCCCCTGAGTTCTTAGAGAGTCTTGTTTAAACTCTGCAGCCTAGCGTCAGGCTGGGGTGCCGGTGGCTGAGGGGGAGTCACTGGGCCACACTCGTACTGGAAAGAGAACCAGGAGGGAACCCCTTCCTCTCCCCCAGGCTGGCTCAGTGGCGGAGCTGTTCTCAGTGAGAGACCTTCCTGGCTGCATCTTAGGGACCAACACCATGTTTCTTTACCTCCACTCCAGTACAGGGACTTTCTGTCTTCTTCCCTGCCATTCTTAAAACATTAAAGGTTTTATTTTTGAAAAGGCATCTACCATGCTCTGTGTGTATCTCTGGTTCACATGTTTGCAGTATGACAACCCTAAGAAAGTCTGCCCTTCTGGGTAGATATATTTCTGAGCATTCTGGAATTTCATAAATTTTAATCCATGCCATGAACATGTCTGGCAACTTCTCCCTAGAATAGAAATACTGTTATAGATCCCATGGTAATTAATATTTTAAGAAGCTGAGAAATGAGTACAAATGCGATTTAATCATTAAACTTTTAAAGATTCTGTACATGCTTCATCTCTCCTCAGTTGGGTTCTGGGAGCCCATTTTCCTCCTGTATTTAATCTGCAGTGCTTCTAGGAAGATATTTCAAGGAACAAAATAGATGGGGATCTTGGTGTAAAGTACTTTCCCTAAGAAGCGGTTTCTTAAGAATGCTGTTTTAGGTAAAGCTCTGTGGCTTCTGGGAACAGATATTTATTAAAACACAGTTGTAATAGAGAGTTTTAAGGGCCTCCAAGAACAGGAAATGTGTAGACTCACAGTCTTTTCTGTTGCTATCACAGAATACCACAGACTAGGTAATTTACAAACATTCCAAGTTTATTTGCTCTGGGTTCCAGTGGCTGAGAAGCCACCCCTTTGGAGAGGGCCTTTTTGCTGTGTCATTGTGTGTTTGCAAAAATGTGGTAGAACTCATCTTTTTTTTTTTTTAAATCAAGACCGCTCTGCCACAATTACTAGTCCACTGTCTCTGTAGCAGTGCTATCCATTCGTGAGGGTCAATCTATTCATGGCCTCATCAGCTCCTAAAGTCTCACTTCTTAATGCTGCTAAACAGCAGTGAATCTCAGCATGAGATTTGGAGGGGACCCTGAAATTCACAGCATCATCTCACCTGGATACAGGACATGGGAGTCACAGACTGGGACAAACCTCTGGGTCACCTCCTTCCTCTCCCACTGGGTTAGCAGAGAGACACTACCCTTCCAGTTCCCCCCTTGGTGCTGGTTCCTTTTTCCCTGTCCACACTGTCCTCTAGGGTAGTACTGGCCTTCATGTTGATATGTGGTCTATGATCTATACCATAAGCCTGGTTCATCAGTGAACGGGTTCTGAGGGTCCGGTCACTGGACAGGGTTGTCACAGCCATGGCGTGCAGATTCGCTTGTGGTGGCTCCAGAGTGGTGGTGGAGGCAGAGCTGAGGTCTTGTGTCTTAGGACGCAGAGAAGCTTTACCTGCTACTTGGGAGCGCAGCTGAGGAGGCAGTCAAGGGGCCTGAACACCATCGGGAGGAGACCGAGCAGGCTAAGAAATTGGAGATGTCTTCCTTTTTTGTGTATTTGAATTTTTGTAGTTTGAACTCTAAAGAGGGACGCTATTTGGGGCTTAACATTTGGGCTGTCACTTCACTGGGAATTCACACTATGTAACTTTGGGGTAGTCTTCTCTGTATTAATTGGGTTCACTGTGTGAGCTGCAGCAGCCGCTCCTAGACCACGTGGCTGGGCTGAGCATGACTGGAGGTCAGAAGCAGACGCAAGAGTGATTGTTTGACTCACGGTAAAATCAGCCTTGGAGCTAAAGATGTCCTTTTCCATCAGAGGCCTCTGAGACCCCTGCCCCACAGAGTCGGCAGTGCTGTGTCCTGAGGGAGGGCACCCCACCGCCAGACAGCCTGGGACTGAAGGGATTTCAGCACTGAATTGCCAAAGTCCCATTCCCGGTGAAAGGTTCCCTGCTCCACCCAAAGGAGGAGCAGCCTGGCTCTGCCGCTTGGCCAAGCTCTTCCCCAGGGGGTGGCGAGAGAACAGGCTTGCTTTGGCTGCCAGTGGGCTCTGGCTTCCTTCTAGTGAGGGCTCTGCGTGTGTTTGGGCGCCTTCTATAGCAGTCAGATACAAAAAAGGGGAAAAGCAGAAGCTTCCGGTTCTTGTAAGTCCAAGCTTAAAATACCTCAAATGTTGCTTCCATGATGCTATCCAGGTCCAGGCAGACCTGGAGCAGCCTGGATTCCAGAGGAGAGGGAGGATGTGGCCTCCGGTTCCCTGAGAGATGGAACAGGACGCCTCTACAGCGCAGGAGAAAGGGGGTGAGGTCGTCTTTGGGAGCGATCTATCTGCTGCGCTACCATTTCCCAAATCGCGAGGCCCCCAGGAAGGTAACTGGTGTAGGAGTCCCTCTAGGGCACGTTTTATGTACCCTGAGATGAGTCCCACTACCTCCTTGCGGACTCAGATTCCAAGACAGACGCATGTGCAAATACACAAGTGTAATACAGGACGATGTGTGTGCATGTGTCTATGCACACATGTGTTTACACACAAGTATATGTGAGATGAGAATTCTGTGTAATGGTTTCTTTCCTTTTGGGGTGGCAGACAGATGTTGTTAGACTTCACAATGCACAGGGTTTGGGGAATGGATAGGACTTTGTGTGGTATGTGGGGGATGAGTATACCAGGCCCGTAAGAGTTTCAGAAATGTGAGAGTGCATTGTTTGCACTTTATGCCTGCAGTGTGAAGTTGCGTGTGAACCCCGAAGAGCAGGATGGGAATGTAGCACGGACCTGCTCTGCCCTGTGGGAGCATGGACTCATTTTAAAGTGGGGCGTGATGTCATTCAGTTTTGGTTCTAATTTTTGATGTTATCCTTGGGCAGAGTTAACAACTATTTCTCAAACACCTTCTGTATGCCAGGTACGCACACCTACATACCTTAACATGTATTGCGAGAACTCTGTTCTGAAGATTAGCACCCTCACTAGAAGAAACCGAGGCACAGGGAAGGCAAATAAACTCGCTCCACCTCACCCAGCTGGTAGAAGGCTCGTGCCTGCATCTGAGGGCGGGAACTCTCTCTCCTTAACCGCACTGTGTCTCTGTCTGCGGACTTTAGGACCGATTGTTTGCTATAATATAAGGAGAGGCTGGAGAAGGCTCCACTATCTAGGAGGTGTGGAAGTGATTCAGGTGAGCACTATCACATCCCCAAAATTGTACCAATAGTTGGAAAAAGTGACAGAAGCAAATCTCATAGACATTAGGGGAGGGAAGATAATAGGATTAAATAAGCACCTGAATCCGTAGGGCAGAAAAGAAGGGTTGGAAAGGACTGAAATTCCTGGTTTGGGTGAGCTGCTGTGCGAGACACTGGCGCTGTCATAAATTAGACGGAGGTGAGGATAGTTTGGTTTGGAGGGGAAACCAAGTCCAGCTTTGCTACATGGGATTTGAAGGCCCGTGTGTGGGAGGCAGCTGGGACCCGGATGGGCTTCACGGAGAAGCCAGCTTCAGGGAGGGAGTGGCCCCTTGCACCAAATGCATCAGGAGGTCGGGTAAGGTAAGACATGTATCTCTACCGCAGGACTTGTAAGTACAGAGGTCAGCACGACCTCGACGAGGCCGCGTAAGTGAACGGGTGGCCGCGAGCCAGCCTGCTGTGATGACGGGAGCAGGAAGGGAAGTTGGCAAGGGGTGGCCCAGATTTCCAAGAACTCTCCAGAGGAGGAGCAAACACTGCACAGAGATTTACAGAAGGAGGCAGCCAGGCAATTTGCTGGCTGGTTTGCTTATGTTTTTAAGACCTGGGCTGTTTTCTGAGATGCGTCAGGGGGAGAGGGAGGTTCCAGATGCAGGGGGAAGAGGAACAGAAGTGACGAACCTAAGCAGCTGAGGCCCCACAGGGGGGATGACCACAGCACAGGTGGGGGGACTGGCTTTACAGGAAGTTTCTCCTTTAGGAAATCAGGAGAGGAGACCATAAGGATGTTTGGAGAAATGGGTATATTTGTAGTCACGTGGTGAGTAGCAAATTCAAAAGTGTCGTGTGTCTCTAAGAAATACTAGCATGTCATTTGTACAAAGAGGAAAAGAAACCTAGGCTCAGAGAAAAAGACGGTGCAGGTCAGAATAACACTTGGGTGAACAGGTTCTGGAAGGCAAACTGCATCCCTGAAGAATTCATTCTGTGCTGAGCACCAGATCGGGTTGATCCGTAAGCATAATAACAGTGAATAAATAACAGCTGGGCTTAGACCCTCTGGACATAGTAGATAGAGGATGCTCTATAAATATTTATTGAGTGACTGCTGTTTGCATTTTATGGCTGGCCTGGGCTGTAGGTAGGTTCTTCCTCTTCAATGAATCCTCATCAATGAATATTGATCGAACATCTACTGTGGAAAAACCCTGACACTGCCGGAATCAGGGGAGGAGCGAGTGGGATTCTCAGGAAGCTCCAGACAGCCCCTGCCCTCCGGGGACTGCCAGCTAAGTGCTGGACATTAACCCTTCTCTCCTTCCTCTCCCAGTGTCTCAAGATCCTGAGTGGTGACCCAGCATCCCAGGTGGTCCCTGAAGGATGCTGACCACAGCTCTACCCTGTCCCATGACAGGGTCTCCCAGTGTCAGAAGTAACTCTACTGGTGGGGCCAGAAAGCCAGCTAGGAGCTCAGGGTGTGGTCCCCAGTTCCAAACAGTAGTTTCAAATGCAAATTCTTAGGCCTCACTAGGAAACTTCAGGGTATGGCACTCAGATTTCTGGGAGGCACTTAGAAATTTGTGTTTTGGCAAGATTTCTAGTAATGGGATGCTCTTTCAGATTCGAGAACCGCTTCCATGGGCCACAGTCGTGTTCAGAGCCCATCTCAGGAAGCTTCTGAATGTTTGGTCCCCAGCACTTAGGCCAGACATCCAATAAATGTCTCCAGGAGTCCCGGAGCTCAGCCGGTGGTGTGCTCCTGTGTGGATGGAAGGAATGCAGAGGGGAAGACCGGAGAGCGAGGAGGAGTGTGGACCTGTTACCTTCTCCCTCTGCTCAAGGTGGGCTGGGAGCCAGTCAGGGGACACAGAGGGAACCAGAACTGGGGTTGGAAGTCCCCTGGCCAATGGTGCACAGCTTGATCTGGAGTCTCGGCCCTTTAAGGACAGTCGGTCAGCGGTAGTTTTATCATGACAGTTATTACTGAAGGGGTATGATGTGCCGATGCCACTGGCTGCCTAGTTATCCCACAGGATTCTCATCAGTGATTTCCAGTTTATCCCTGTGTTTCAGAAGAAGGAAAAAGGTGAGTTAGTTTTTCCTAAAGTCAGCCATCCAGTAAACTGGTAGAACTGGGACTTAAATTGAGATTTGCTCTTAGATTGATAAATCTGTAAGTTATAGGGGTCTAAAATACAAGGAAAGTTCCAGACTCTTGGTCCACTTAAGAAATTCTCAGGCCGGGGATTTAGCTCAGCGGCGTAAGCACCTGCTTTGCAAGCAGGCAGTCATGAGTTTGATCTCTGGTATAAAACAGAAAGAAAGAAAGAAAGAAAGAAAGAAAGAAAGAAAGAAAGAAAGAAAGAAAGAGGAATTCTCTCTCTCTCTCTCTCTCACTCACACACACACACACACACACACACTGCCAGCAGTTTACGTGAGACTGAATCAGTAGCCACCCCCCATCTGAGGGGTCCCCCTCTGTTTGCTTGCCCCCATCTTCAGTGCAAAATGGCCATTTCCCAGATTCCTTCAAAGTCCACGGAGTCCACTGGCCAGCACAAAGTGCTACAAGGCATCTCACAGCCTCCTGCGCATCTCCCTGGTGGTTCCTGTGTGACCCCCAGTCTCCTCGGTCCTAACTCTGTCCCTCTCTTCTCTCTGGAAGCAGCTGCTATGACCTCCACCCGATCATTCTTGTGAGAAGTGCGTAGGGAGCTCCCGAGCACAAACCGAGGAATTTGTTTTCCTAAAGCACGTGTGCGTGGTGGCTCAGCTCGGTGGGTGACTGCCTTCTGCACTGGCCTGAGCAGTCTTTCTGGAAAAATCAGCCCACTTGTCCCACTCCTGAAGCTGCCCTTCTCACCCAGTCTGCGGTCGGGTCACAGGAGCCCAGGATGCTATAAGCCCTCTGTGTCCCCAGCCTGGGAGCTATGGGGAAGCTGGTGCCTCACACCCCGCACCCCACAGACCCGGGCTCCCAGCTGCTCTGAAAGGCGCTGCTGAGTCCACTTCCCTGCCTGTCGCTGCTGGGCTGGAGAGCTCGCAGGCCTGGGGCCTGGGCTTTCTTCCCCGTGGCGTTTGGCGATGCTCATTGCTAGTGCTAGCTCGGCCCTGGCAGGGCTGAGACTGTGTAAGTGAAAAATAGAGGAATGAAACCTCAGAACACGTTATGACCTTCAAGAAGATTTGGTTTGGACTGGGTTCTAGAAATGGTCTGGATTTTGGTTGCAGAATTTTTGTTTCCCAAAATGCATTTTGAACTTCTTTGGAGAGCTGTTCACAGCTCCAAGAGGCTGTGAGGCCCTGGCTGGGGGTAACTGTGTCCCTCACTGGAGTCCGGTGTCACTGGGTGAAAGGAGGATAGGAGTGGACTCTGTGGACATCACCTCAGGGAAGTGGACTAAAGAGCTTCCCAGCGTCACTGCGTGGAGCTGTCCTGCGCGCTGCTAAAGCAGCTCGGTTACGCACAGCAGACACGGGAAACTGAGCCACACTGCTGACATCACGTCTGTGACCTCAACGTAACAGCAGCGTGGGATGCGGGCGCCAGCGGGCGGCCTCATTTCCTCCTTCCTCTGCCTCCCTTTCCGGTGCCCACTTCTTCCTACTGATTTCTTCTCCTCTTCCTCTCGCCTTTCTCATTCCTCTCCTCTCCTCTCCTCTCCTCTCCTCTCCTCTCCTCTCCTCTCCTCTCCTCTCCTCTCCTTTCCTCTCCTCTTCCTCCCTTTCCTCCTGCATTGTTTATCAAAGCAATCCATCTGGTTCTTCTGCTGGAGACAGATGACTGCAAAGATGTGGGAAACCCACGGATGTCAGAAGAGACTCTGAAAATATCTCCAGGGAGGTGAGATTGGAGACCACTCAGTGAGCTTTTCCTCACCAAATGCCCTGAACACCTGATTTTACACAGAGCCATCATCCGGCTGCCTCACTCCAACCTGTTCTACTTGGTGTTGGCCATGGGAACCAACTTGGTATCAAATGCAAATTACTCATCCTACCTAGTTCTGTCACCTACTGAGGTCATTCATTTGACTTTACAGCCTCTCCTCTGAATTTGAGAGAGAGAGAGAGAGACTAGAGAGAGACAGAGAGAGACAGAGACAGAAATAGACAGAGACACAGAGAGAGAGAGAGAGACAGAGAGACAAAGAGAGTCAGAGAGAGAACTGAGGTTGAATCCAGGAGCTTCATGTTGAGCTCTTTTAATCCTTTTCTATTTTTGAGACAAAGTCCTTCTAACCTGCTAAGCTGCCTGCTCAGCTGGGCTCTAACTTGCCATCTTTCTGCTGCGTCCCCCAAAGTGCTGGGTTGGTAAGTGTGCACCACCGTGCCTGGGGATGGCGTGTAGTGTCCAAAGCCAATCAAATCAACGAAAAGTATGCTAGCATCCGTCTTTATGATTAGTGACTAACCCTGACCCTGACCCTGACCCTGACCCTGACCCTAACGCTAACCCTGACCCTGACCCTGACCCTGACCCTGACCCTAATGCTAACCCTAAGATCCTCATCAGGCAGGTGCTCAAGCATAGCTCACTTAAGACTGCTCCTTAAAACCCTCCTTCTACTGCCTGGGAACAGAGAACAGAAAGGCCAGAGGCGCTGCTTGTGAAAGGGTTGGTTGTGGCTTCTGGTTTGTGACACAGTGTGGCACCAAGAGTAAGATGAGTTGACTTTGCTGAGGGACGTACCCGGTTCCATCGGAGGCTCCCCTGAACATTCACTGGCGTCATCAGTGAAGTTGCTTTCTTTTGCTGTCAGGCACAGGTACTGTGAGGGCGCAGTGTCCACCACGAGTCCCCTGAGAGAGGGTGCTGAGGAGGAGGCTGAGGGGAGGACCCAGCACGAAGGAGAGGACCCAGGCGAAGGAGAAGACTCCTGAGGGACGCCTGGGTGTCTGGGTCTCTGAGGCTGCAAAGCCATTCGGTTCGTTCCTGGGGCCCATGCAGTCTCGGTTGTATTTAAGACGGTTTGAATTGGGTTTCAGCCACTACGGATGGAAAGTTCCAGGCAGGGACGAGAGACACAGTGCGTTAGTTGTGAGGGACGCCCGACCCCAGAAGCAGGGGCAGGGGCTTCTCAGTTGTGTTTACCCATTGACAGGTAGAGATAACAGGCACTCAGTAATATCCATGGTAGAGTTAGGGCGAGGTTGGGCAGCTGGCATGCCTCCTTTTGTTTTCTTAAGCTTAGAGAGTGGATAGTCTATTTCTGATTGGTTCTTGAAGTCCTTTTTAAAAACTTTAAGCTCGTCCCTTGTGCCTGTAACAGGAAGTAGAGTCACCCAGGCTGGGCTGGAGAGGCGAGGGGGTGTCCTGGGGTGGGGTGGAGAGGAGGAGAGGAGCAGGTTCAGCTGCCCTGAGCTGCGGGGCGGGGTGACTCTGTTTCCCCGACAGCTCTTTCTGGTGTCTCCATGCAGAGCTTTGTCCCTTTGGAAGCTGTGGGCGCCATCTTTATTCACCGCACGCTGCTTGCTTCCTTTCTCCTCCTTTTCTGCTTCTCTCCCTTCTTTATGCTCTTTTATTTTCTCCAGTAGTCTTCTCTCAATAAATCTCCCACTTCTCTCTTTTTGATTTTTCTTTTATTTTGCACAGCTGTTCCTCCTGCTCATGGTCCGAGAGCCATGAGTTGGTTGGTCTTCCTGCCCGCCCTCCCCACGCCCATCCCGGGTCTCTGCCCTTACCCCACCCCCCGGAATCTCGGGTGCAGGCTGGCGATGGAAGTGAGGGAGCCCCTGAGGGGTGCCAGTGACCGCCAGCTCTCCAATGCTGTCGGTCCGGAGCTGAAAGGCCTGAAGCATGGTGTCCTGCATGATTTGCCCCCAGCTGCCTCTGTGGAGGTCACCACCATCTCTCAGTAGGTAACGAGCTGGACCAGTGTGGGAGAACACAGAGAAGACAGTGGGTCACAAAGTCTTCAGAAAACATGGTCCTCAGACAGAGATGGAGTCCTTGAAGTCAAGGGTGCAGGACCCAGTTCTCAGTTCCAGAAGGTTCTGGCCAAGTTCCCTAACCTACTGAGTGTCACTGTCTTTACAACACATTCAGCTCTTGGTATCCATGAGCTCCAAGACCTCCTCTTCCTCCAGATTCCCAGTCCGTGGCTCAAGGTCTTATACAAAGTGGCATGGGATTTGCTTATACCCTATGCCCACCCTCCTGTGTAATGACATAGGGGAACGAGACACCCGACCTATTGTACGTCCAATATGAGTTCCTGTTCTCTAAAATCAAAAAGGGAGTTTTAGGAACAATGCAGGTTAAGAGCAGAATATATTTGCTGAGAGAAAGAAAGCTTCTAAGAGAGCATGAGAGAGACATACGCAGAGACAGACAGAGACAGAGACAGAAGAGGTCCCGAGTGGGTTCCAATGACTCTGTCTTTTCTAGGCAGTTTTATAGAGTAAAATCACAAAGTGAGGCAGGTCTAAAATGGGGGAAACATGGGAACTCACAAGACGGGCATGAAGTGGGACAGAGCTATGGTCAGCCAGTGAGATTCATTGCACAGGTAAACTGATTAAATCAGGAACAAACGGGGAAGCCAGTCGTGTAGCTAGTGGGCATGAACAGAGAACAGTGTCTTCCTAGGGGTTGGCATGGTGACTCTTGGCTTCCTCAGGGCGATAGAGACCTATTTAGAATATCAGTCCTGATGTGTATGCTTAGGAAGCATGTGGGTGCATTTGAATCATCTTTTGTCTTAAGGTCATGCCCACAGTGGGAGGCGTCTGTCCCCTTCACAGTTGCCAGGCATGTGGCCTTCTGCACTGGTTCCTTTGAGGACCCAGCCTTGCCTGTAATGTTCTATGTAACTCAGCTGCCTATAACAAATTTGTGTCACCTCTGGGTGACTTGATGACTTGTGACAACTAATACAACATAGATGCCATGTAAGTTGCTGTTCCACGATGCTCTCTAGGGACCGGTGACAGGAAGCTGCCTCCCTTCCCCCCTCAGAAGCAACTAAATTCTCTGAACAATCGGCAGGGGGGTGGTGTGGGAGACAGAAAGGCGGATTGGGTGAAGCCTAAATTAATTATTTCAGAAGCAACTAAATTCTCTTCGTCTGGATGAATCTCTGGCCTCTGAGTCTTTGGCACCACCGTGGCACCTGTCCTGTGGTGGCCTCTCGGCCATTTCCGTCTAGGACAGTCCTTTCTCTGACAAGAATCCCTCACCGCTGTCCAAAGGGGAACATGCACTCCCCACCTCATGAATGAGTGAACCAAGAGAGAGGGAGGCGGGGTCGGTGTCAAGGACAAGATCTGCACATGGACGTCGACGGCATGTTTGCGGGCAGCAGCCGTTCTTGAGGTGCACTGAGCCCATGGTGGGGAGCTCTGCTCTCCAAGTATACTTGGTGTTCCCTGGCCGTCCACAGTGGCGCCCACAGAACCCCCGTGGAGACAGGTGGCAACAAGGAGGCTGTGGGGTCTCTGCGTAGAGAGTCTGAAAGTCCTACCAAGGACAGAAAGGAGTGACCAGGAAGCAAGCCCAGGACAGAGGCAGAGACGGAAGTCACAGTATGGGGACCGGCACAGGCCTGGAATCCCGCTGGCGCTCAGCTTCTCCAGGCCAATTTCCTTGCGCTGTCCCCATCCATGTGGGGTTTTAGGTTTCCTCTGCTTCAGGACTTCCTGGCCGGGAGCACCCTGTGCCTTATGCAGAGCTCTGAATGGCTCCTGTTGACTTCTGAGCCCCTTGAAAGCTAGGCTCACTTCAGTTGATCTTTGCCCTGCTGTTCCTGCAGTGGCCTGCTTAGAGGTTTCCAAGCATGAGATGCCAGTTTGCCCACCCGGGGACTCAGCAGTGATCTGAGCACTGTCTTAGGTAACTGGGGGCACAATCTAGAAAAAAAATTGTAAAATGCATGTTTGTAAAAAGGTTTGACACAGGTGACAGGTACGGAATGCATGGCTCTGCACCAGTGTGTGACAAAGCTCTGGCTCTTCTTGGTCAAGGTCACCGACAAAAGCAAAGAATCCTGGCTCCGAACCTGGGGTCAACCTGGAAGTCTGGTGGAGAACTCGGAGGGGCTGGGGGAGCACGGCCCCTGCCCTGGTGGAAAGTCTTGGTGGGGTGGCAGTTTAGGATCCAGCGTGCTTGACAGAGTCCCTTCCAATCTGAAAATAGACTGAACTTCCTGAGCTGCTTCTTTGGAAAGCTAAAGCTTGGAGGGCTTTTCTGACTTTGAGCCTGCCTGTGTCAGCATTTGGAGGAGAAATGAGCATCGCACAGAAACCCACCGCATTAACGATCAGCATGGGGGTGGGGGTGGGGAGGCAGGCCAACTGTGTGAAGCCTAAAGATTAAAGAATAACCTAAAATCCAAGTCCTTCAACTGTTTTCACCTGAGCTCTGTCCAAGCCACTCCTGTAGAACAACTTCATATTCTCTGATGCATCAATAATACGACTGGCAATGCGATCACTAAATGCCTTGGCAGTTTGATGAGGTCATTAATAATACCTCTTGTCAGTGACTTAACTCTAGTTAATAACTTCCTTGTGACTTTCGTCAAATCGATTTTCCTGGGGATGTTCATTTCCAAAGGTTTGTGGATGTCCTTCGACTGTTAGCCAGTGACAGAAATAGCCATTCTGCTGTGGCGTGTTTTGAGGTTTTGCCCTTACTTCTAAGAAAGAGGCGATAATTGTGTAAACCAACTACTCATCTGCGTCTGGCATTCAGCTTGAACCTAAAACCTGAAGCAATATTTTCTAAAAGGAGTAGTTTCGTGTAATTTTCACAATAACAGTGTGCCAACTCCAACTATGCTAAAATGGCAGTTATATAAGTCTAATAGAGGAGAAAAAAGTCCTCTCCTCACCTCTCTTCGGGAACAGTTTCTTAGAATTTTCCTGACGAATGCAAGCTAATGTTAGTGCACTGATTTCTCAGCTTCTGCTGCTCTCCCCACGCTACCAATCCAAACCCACTTCCAGGCCAGCGCCAGCCCAGGCTCCCAAGGGAGCTGTCTCCCGGACTGCCCTGTGGGGAGCAGGGAAGCTTAGGAGAGGGCCAGCGAGAGCCGCTGGTGAGATTCCAGGTCTGCCAGACAGTGGAGCAGCCTTTGGGGCTGGAAGGCGGCGAGAGATGATAGATAGATGATAGATAAGATAGACAGAGACACTGAGGGAGACAGAGTTGCTTCGTGCATGAAATGATGATCACTGAGAATCTGTCACTCACCCTAGGAACCTGGAGCCCCTAGGCTTGGCAGAGGGACGGGGGCCCCCACACACTGCTTGTTGAATAAATGAACTCTTTGAACAGAGCTGAACAGGGTTTGAATAAACTTACAGATGACCGATGTGTGCCAGCATAAGAAGGGAATTCAGTCTCCGCTTCTTTTCCCTGTTCTCTTCCTCTTCTAATTACACAGATTACCTGGAAGAGGGTCTCAGGTGGAATCAGGAGGGCGTCTCCCACCATGACGGGTAACATATATGTAGATATATGTAGTCTTTGAAATTTCTGAGAGAGAGAGAGAGAGACAGAGAGAAAGAGAGACATGCATACATAATCTCTGAGGCCCCTTGACACTAAAAAAGTCCTCTTTTTCCATCTGCAGCATAAGCTAGGTTAAGAGTTGGTCTTTGTCCGGCTTCTGGCCCAGAGGAGCCTGGTCTCCTTTACACACAAGCGTCCTTTCACCCACTTAGGGAGCCCTGGCCTGAGTCCTCTTCTTCTGAGCCTCGCCCCGTGCTTCCTGGCAGCCCCGCCCCACCCTCTTGAGCTCCACACTGCAATCTGTCCTCTGTCTTGGAGATTTCTCCTGGCTCAGGAGTGCTCACACTTTTCCAGCTCTGACTGAACCCCAAGGGCCCAGTGGGCAGTGCTTTGCTCCAGGCCCTGGCTTCCTTGTCCCCCCTCGCCTGGCCACCACCTCCGCTGCCCATCTCCTGTCCATCCCCTCTCCTCCTTACCTTGCTTCTGAAGGTTGGCTGCATCCTCGCCGAGGTCACTCACCTGACCTTCTGCAGGGCCCTGCTGGGACAAGTCACCTCTTTTGATGCCACTTCAGGAGGTAGCTGTGAGGTTTTTGAGCCTTATCTGCAAAAACGGCCCAGAACGTAGCTGGCAGGTACCTCCTCCTGTCCTTTACTCCCTTGGTTCCCCACTCTCCGTCTCTCCCTGGTCTTTTTACCACTCCACTTCGTCTGTGAAATCTCTTTTTTTGCTGACCCTTTTGCAGAGTTCTCAATTTCTTACCGTCTGTTGCCTTGTGAATTTATGTTTGCGCAGGGTAATTAAATTCACTTTGTGGTTTTACCCAGCGTTCACACCACTCTCTCCTGAGCAGACTCGAAGCTCAACTAACTGTCCATTCACAAGGCAGGGCTGGGGTGGCTCACGGGTCCCCGGGGTGCCACGCCTGCAGAGTGTGGGCTTCTCACGGTCCCACCAATTTTGATCCAAGTGGGTCCAAGTGGGACCAATTCTCATGGTCCTACCAATTTGAGTGTAAACCCAATTAAGGTCTAGGAGACCCAAATAAAGGGATAATGAACTCCACAAGTCAAAAAACAATCCCATGAGAGCAAACTTAGCAAGGATTATGTAAAACATACCACTGTGACAATGTCACTACAAAACTGTATTTATTATTTAAGAAAGTTCAATTTGCAGATAATTGACCAAACCGTAACCGATCATCCATGAAATGAATTGCAAATCATTTCAAAAATCAAAATTATTTTTAAAAATCCTCTCAACTTCTTTTTCAATGCAAGTATTATATTTAATGTGGGATGTGGGTGAATTTGAAAATATTTGCTATGATGTGGGTTGGGGTTTCCAGAATAAGAATGCTGGGCCTTTGAAGGTCTTGAGCGCTGCCCGGCCTCCTGTACGCTCTCCATCTGGCGGCCCTGCAGGAGCCGGAGCTTGGCAGGCTGAGGAGGAGAGATTCCTCCTCTCCCGTCTCCGAGGCTCCCTGTTTCAGTGGGTGCGGCCCAGGCTCCGGGTGGGGAGCCCTCCTGGGCAAGTTAATCTCATCCAAGTCTCTTCGTCAACCTCCTTCATCAGAGGCTACGTCTTATGGTCTTCTAGGTAATTATGCATTGAATTCATTAGTTCTTTCTCGTTCCTTCTGCTGCTGTTGCTCACCTTATACTGGTCACCTTATAACAGTAACTAATAATCTTATACCTGGTCTCCCTGCAGCTGCTCGGTCTCCTGTCCCCTCACAGCCCTGGTCCTTAGAATCCTTCCTCAGGGCTCAAACTTGGCGGGATTACTCTGCTTTCTGAAGCTTTGGGAGCTTGCTCGGATGCAGGAGAAAACGTGAGCTCCTGGCCCAGCACAGAGCACCGGGAACTTGTCCTGGCCTGTTCCCGTGACCATGTCGGTTGATTCGCCCACCTGGCAGTCGGCAGTGACTCTCTACCTCTGAGCTTGCGTGCCGTGACCTTCCTTTCCAGAACACCCTTCCCTCTTTCCTGCTTCACCTTGATTCTTTAAGACTCAGCTCAGGTGTTGCCCATCCGTGGAGGCTTCCTGGGAACACCAGGACTTGCTTTGCACAGCACCCAGCTGCTTCCGTGATCTTCCACTCACAGCCCCTGTGTCCCACTCTGTCCTCTCATCAGTGGGTCCCTGCACAGCAGCCGAGCTCCCATTCCTGTCCCACCCTGCAGATCAGGAGAAGGCCTTCCACTCCAGGGACTCCAAATCCCAACCCTTCTGGGAACCCCAATCCTGGCGCAAACTCAGATACCCAGGAATCCACCTGAAACATGTCCCCTAAAGGTTGTTTGTTTCATTTTTTGAGACAGGGTCTCACTATATAATTCAGGCTGGCCTCAGACTCTGTGGGATCCTCCTGCCTCAGCCTCCTGAGTGCTGGGATTACGTGCTCTACCGTGTCAGGCTGCTTTTCATTTGCTCCAGGAACTGACTTCACCTCTATTCTCTCTAAAGCAGAGAGGATCTTTTGGTTTATCTTTAATTTGTTTTCCTCGTGATCCTGTGATTTGATACTTGGTACCCTGCGCCAAGCCTGGATTTTAGGAAATTAAATGTGTTGGATTCTGGGAGAAACCAGAGGAGTGACGGGGTATCTCTCTGCAGACAGGGTGTCCCGATTCAGCTCTGGGGTTGCCATTTGAGAACACAGCTGGAACATTTTGAGGAAGAATTATTTTTCTTAAGCCATGCCAGATAACCTGACTGGACACAGTGGTATCCAATTGCTTTTAATCATTTCTATTTAATTTTAATTGTTTCTATCTATTTTAATCCTAACTACTTGCACGGTTAATGGAAAACAAACAGTGGCACCCGGGGCCTCTGCTGTCCTCAGTGCAGCTTGCAAAGCGCAGTCTCGGTGCTGCTGATGTGAGAGGGACAGAGACGCAGGAGCCCGAAGAGAGGCATCTGTGCATCCTTTTCTCCCTCTTCCGGCTTTGCAGTTCCCCGACTGAACAGCCCAGCGGAGCCTGCTTCCCTGCTCTGGAGTTACAAGGCAGGGAATAGAGGAGGAAGTGCACGCCTCGCCTTCCTGGCTCTGTTCTCCACTTCCATGCACGGAGGGAGTTTTCCAGAGTCCCTCTAGGGAGCGAAAGGCAAGGGTGAGTCTTCTCCTCTTAAAGAGAAAATATTCTCGGCCCGCAGGGAGGAGGAGGAGGAGGAGGAGGAGGAGGAGGAGGAGGAGGAGGAGGAGGAGGAGGAGGAGGAGGAGGAGGAGGCAGAGGCGCGAGGTTCCTGTGACCCACCCATGGGCAGTGCCACCTTGCAGCCCCACGTCCTGAAGGCATCCAGGAGCGAAAACACGAATCAGGGCTCTCTGGGCACCATGGCGATTGGTGAATAAAGGGGCATTGGGTGTTGCTCAGTACCCCAGTGTCCATCCAGGGCCAGGTGTGGAGGACACCCCACCATGGCCATTGCTAAGGACTCCAGCTGCAGGGCGAAGTCGTTGATGTGGAACGCAAAAGCGTAGGCACACTCAGCTGACAGTTGGGCAGAGGCTCCCACCACCGCCATGCGTGTTCCCTGCACACGTGTGCAGAGCACAGATAAGGTTATTTGTTTGCACTCTGCTGGCCGCAGCTCAAACATTTGCTAAGCTGACATTTTCCTGCATTTGATGTTTCAAGCACATTTGTTGATACCTGGATTGTTTCACAGAATGAAAGATAGAAATTTTTGAGTTATTTGCGTAATAAAAGGCCGTATCTTTGCCTAAAAACAAATAAACAAACAAAAGAACTACCACTTGGTAACTCAGCTAGATTGCTACTTAGGAAGCTCCTGGCCTCTTGCAATAGGTGTTTCCCTGTGTCCTGAGATGGTGCTGGCTGTGTTTGGTACCTGCCACTTCTGCGACCCTCACAGTGAACCCCTGCAACACAGGTTATTTCTGTAATAATAATAATAATAATAATAATAATGGTTATTGGAATATTGAAATACCTAATTATCAGTTCACAGGTGCGGAGACCAAGTCAGGAAGAAGGGAAATAACCCACCTGAAGGCTCACAGCTGGTGAGTTTAGAGCCGGAACTCAGACCTGGAAGTGGACATTAGCCCGCCCTGTCTGCCCCCGACTCTCTGCGGTTGGTTCCTGCTGCCGGAAAGCTCTGGCCTTGACTACGTGAGTCCCCTCACCCTGTCCCCGTACCTCCCTTCATGATGTTTGTCCCAGTTTGTAAAGATCTGATTGTTTTGTTTCCCCTGAAACTGTGAGCCCAGGATGGTAGGCGTGTGGCTTAGAAAGCCAAAGACATTGTCCCTGACGTCTGTCCAACCCCCTTTCTTCCCGTAATGACAGAATTGTGGCCGTGAATAGCAGCAGCCTTGCCCACGTTTACCAGCCACTTTTGCAATTACATGGAGCGTATGATTTTTATATTTTGCCTAGAAACGTGGGCATAATCATGATGGCAGGTGTCATGTCTATTTCTCTGTGTTGTGGTTGCCTCTGGAGCTCACTGTGACCTCAGGTGCACGACCCAGGGGCTGAATGATAAAGATTTGTGGGTGGCATGGGAGGGAGGAAGGAGAACTCGGGTTCCCAAAGCACCCAGCAGAACGGAGCCACCCACCAGCTTGAATGCTCATGCCCAATTATTACATGGGGACAATCCGCTTGAACTGGGTGACCTTTGTGACAGCAGCCCAACTCCACCCCGAATCTCTAGAGCCCAAGTAGGTGGGAAAAGCAGGAGCTCAACAGATATCTGTTAAGTGGTCAGCTGGAAAACTGCGTGAGTGATCGTCTCTCCTGATGATGTTTTCACAGAACTACCTGTAAGACGGCACTAAACCTCGCTTCTTCCCTCCTGTCTTAACACAGCACTGCTCACACAAAAGGAGATCAAGGAATGAAGAACTGATGGAAAGCAAGTGTCCGGACTGTCTACAGTCACATTCGTGTGTCTTTTTACATCATTCCTGATGTGTAAATATTTGCAAATAGTTAAAAAGTTCAATCTCATATAAAAAGCAATTCATTCTGAAACTCATGTATGAGGGACCTTCCTGTCAATTATCAAGTCGAAATAACTGAGCTTTAGGTCAAGTAATCTGTTGTGTTTAAAGAGCTCAGAGTTAGGAGACCGTTATAGTCATACTGTGGTCTTGGACAAATCACCCAAGATTTCAGGCACTGGCTGAGCATTAGAGGAATGGTAGCTGTGTCTGATCAAAGGGAGACAGAAAGGGTCCTTCTCGGAAGCCCCTTGCAGTCCTGAAATGGCATGCTTCTGTGCACTACACTCCCTCTGCCCTTGACAGGGTCTGGGTTCATACTCACGAGGGATCCGATTCGTCTAAAGTTCTACCAGGTGGCTGGTTCCCAATTTACGATGAGGCTCACAATGGGCCAGAGACTGTGTTGAGCTGTGAAGTGCACTTAATGTGCCCTGAAACCCCAAGAGTGGCTACACCACTAGCTGCTGGTTAAGTATTTTCCTGATGGGCCCTGACATGCCAATGTGGGTACCAACCAGGAGTCCAGCTCCTTGTCCACGAGCTCACTCATGCATTCCCACGGCAGCTGTGTGTCAGGCTGTCTGTCACTCTGTCCATACAAGTCACTATGGGAGGAGATGGAAAAACAGCCATGGACGAGACAGACCAGGCTGTGTCCTGGGGAAGCTTACATCCTAGCTGGGGACGGGCACACAGCAGCAGTGAAACACGGACACCAATAAGGGCAGGTGAGGTCCGAGTGAGAGAGAGAAAGAAAGCGGCCAGAGCCACCTGCCAGGGATGAGAGAAGACGGGGTAGAGACGAGCTTTCATGAGAGTGCTCTGCTAGGGACCACAAGACGCTTGCTGCTATCTGAAGGAACAATCTCTGTGGCTACTCATGGTAAAACCAACAATTGCCACGTAGACGGGGCGACCCAAAACCACAGTGAGTGTTTACATTCTAAGCTGAAGATGAATCGCCGTTTATCCTCCTCAGAAATGCTCCTTACTTCAATTGTGCTTAGCTTGTTTTCCTTGCTACTTTCTAAAGCCTCTTACAGTTAATATTGACAGCAACTTGTGTCAAGCAGACAGAGGACATGTCCTCCTGTCCCTCCCTGGATCTGACACTGTGCAACAGATGGTTCTTCCCCTGCGGGAAAATGACCAAAAAGGGGAATCAGTTCAGGACATCGAGGGAGCCTCAGAAAGGCAACTTAGATGCTCCCAAAAGCCGTCCAGAGCTGCTTTAGAAAGTGGCTGGAACAGAGATCAGTGGCTTGAGGCAGTAGTTTAAGGGAGCCGCATCTTTCACTGTGACTATTTTTAATTTAAACGCTCACTGTAGGAATTGATCACAGCTTTTCCTGAGCGCCTGCCTTGTTCTTGGCACTAACACATATCCTTTGACTGTATCAACTTGCTTCTTCTTCACACAGACCCTGCAGGGTGTTGTTCCCATTTCACAGACAAGGACACAGGTCTCATAAACTCCCCAGAGTCCTGACACAGAGCCGAGGCAGAGCAGGAGATGCTGGCTCTCCACCGTTATCTGCTCGGCCCGCTTCTCTCTGGAAGTGACCAGGGTGATATGGGAGTCAGAAGCCTGGGGACAGAGGCAGGGCAGGCGAGGTCACTAACACACATGCTGCAGTAAGACCCTGGGACCTGCGTGAACAGCCAGTACTTAGAATGGGAAGGAGAGCCAGGCCTGAATGTTGGGGTGCAGTGGGGGTTGAGGTCAGGGAGGAAGAAGCATCAGCCGAGGAGGATGAGAAGCACGAGAGTGGGAGATGGCAGGGGAGGAGGCAGCACTTGGAGCAAGTGGGGTTCACTGTGGTCAGAAGAAGAGAGAAATACTTCAGAGGAGGGAGGGCGGTCCTGTGTGTGGTCTGTGGGACACATCTGTCGGGCTGAGAGCAGAGAAGGGACGAGAGAGAGGAGCTGAAGCAGGACTGGATCTGGGGGCGGGTTTGGGAGAACGTGTGCACAGCAAGCTTTGCAGAGCCCCGCCGTGAAGCAGGGTGTGGCAGCAGAGCTCGAGGTGTCCGGGGGAGGCAGTAGGCCAAGTCAGGGAAATGCACGCATCTGCGCATCCCTGCGTCCTACCTGCCTGGCAAAGCCGGGCGATCTGAGAGCACCTTTGGTTTCTGTGCCCCCAAAACCCATGCACTGAAACCTCTGTGCCATTTTCTCTCCCCTAATTACATGAAATAAGAAGCAAGTAAATAGGTTCATTAATTTCGAAATGGACTCCAGATGTGATACTTTCGAAGCTGTAAAGCTGTGGCAGTTATGTAGAAGCAGCCCTGGAGGCTGGGGTCATGCTGTTGGCTTCTCCATCGTTTCGCCTCACTCAGCCGTCACATAGACAAATAGGAATTCAGGGAGTGGTAGGAGCTTCCATTGCGTTTCAATAATTTTGTGCCTAGGATGTCTGTTTTTGGACTTAGGCTTTGGCTTTGGTCTCCCCTTAGCTATGTGACATCTGTGCTTGGGTAATTTCAAAAGCCAAGAAGTTGCCTCATTATTTGAGAATTGGATTCTGTATATGCACAGTCAAGCCTTAGTCAAAATAGAAATAAAAATCGTGTTTATGTATGCATTGACATGAGACTATTCATTGAGTTATTTATCCTGCGAACGTTTACCCCATGTTCACACTCTTGTAACCACTGTGTTAGAAGCTGGCAACAAAAACAAGACACATTCCCTGCTTATGAGGACCTCTCGAGAGCAGGGTCAGTAAGTAAGATGCTGTGGAGGGAAAACAAAACCATGGTGGTGACATCACAAGGGCCCACGTCCCCCTCGACAGTGCAAGCCACCTGTGCGAGTGTGTGTATGCATTCGTCCACTTTCTGTTTCTATAACAAAATATCTATGACCGGGAATTTTGTAAACAAATAAGGTTTAGTAAGCTCATAGTTTTAAAGGCTGAGGATCAAAGACAAGGTGGTCCCATGTAGTCAACCACTAAAGAAGGCAGAGAAGTGAGAAGGGAAACGGCCACATGAGAATGGACCAAGCGTGTGAGAGGTGTCAGTCTACAGCAGCTCACTCTCAGGAGACTACTCTTAACCCTGAGTGGTCTAATTGTTAAAAGTTCCACCACATTCAGGACCAAGCCCCCAGCACAGAGCCAGCAGTGTGTGTGGTCAGTGGGTGGGAGAGAAAGTTAGCTTATAGTGGAGCAGGAACTGAGACCGGAAATGTAAGTTGGCCAAAACCATTCACCACCCATCTATCAGTCCATCCATCCATCCACCCATCCATCCATCCATCCATCCATCCATCAATCCATCCACCCACCCATCCACCCATCCATCCACCCATCTACCTATCCACCCATCCATCCACCCATCTACCCATCCATCCATCCATCCATCCATCCATCCATCCATCCATCCATCTATCCATCCATCCATCCATCCATCCACCCATCCATCCATTCATCCATCCATCTCATCCATCCATCCATCCATCCATCTCATCCATCCATCCATCCATCCATCCATCCATCCATCTACCCATCCACCCATCCATCCACTCTCCCCACTGTTAATTCTTCTATTAACTTAATAATTATATTTGGGGGCTTACTATGTCCCAGGACCTGTGTTTATTGTTGTGGACACATTGGTGAGCTAAATGGGCACAATCCCCGCCCAGGTAGAGCATTTAGTTCAGTGAATGTAGGATACCAGCTGTGGTGAACTTTTAAAAATTGTGATAAGGTGATCAAGCCTTGTTATGCAAAGACAATGTGGGATTCATGTGCAGGTAAACTGTAGAAGGGATAAAATGTAGATGAGCTATTATTTTAGGGGCTGGGGCAGTGGTCTCAGAACAGGATGATGAGGAAGGAGTTCAGTTAGGAAGATGAGGGTAGCTGGGCACACCGGCCTCTGGCTGTTGATGGCTGTTTCACTCTTCACTTAGTGAATATTTCCTGAGAAGCAGTAAAGAACTAGCACTTTGGCACTACGTCTGGATTTGTCATTGGTTACCTGGGCAATCCCAGAAATGTTATTTCATCTCTGTATCCAGATATCTCCAACTCTGTACCACTGAACAATAACTCCTGATTTGGAGAGTGGCTCCCCAAATCCACATCTACTCGGTACCCAGGAGCATCCCCTTATTTGGAAGAGGAGTGCGTCTGATGCACTTAGTTAAAAGGAGGTCATGCTGATTAGCCTGACTTCCACTTCATCCAACGTTCGGTGTCCTTGAAAGAAAACAGGCACCCAGGATACCATGTGACACTGGAGAAAGATGTCAGTGACGTCTTAAGCCAAGGTGTGCTAAGGAGTGCCAGCAGCCACCAGAAGCTGAGGACGTGAGGAAGGGGTGTCTTATCCAGATGTCAGAGAGGGCCTGGCTCAGCCAGCACCTAGGATTTGGACCTCTGCCTCTGGTTTAGCTTCTTACTGCAACTGTAGGGGAATAAATGGCCTCCGGCCGTGGCCATTTGTTCCATCAGCCGAAGGAAAACAGTACATAAGTTTGCCCCGAGGATGAAATTTGTGCTAAGATCAGTGGCAAAGCGTAGGTGAGCTCAGTAATGCGAGTCATTGTTATAATGTGCACGGTGCTGTTCTCCACGGGCTCCTTCTGGACTCTCTTGGCCAAGAAAATATCACAGAGAACCAATTGTCAGAAATTAGGTGTGGCTGGGTACTTGGATGGCACTAGTGCTGGGTGGTATCCTGATCAAGCAGACCTTTTGGGGGAGATGGTGCATTTCCCCAGGGAAAGGGGTCCCCGGCCTGGGAATCAGCCTTGTCCTCTCCTCTTCCCTCAGCACATTTTAGTCCTCCGTTGGGCACAGCGGCTCCTGTTCCTCTGCTGCATCTCGGGCTTCCCAAAGGGAAAGCAACTCCCTTAGCTCTCTCAAGCCGCCTAAGTAAATACCACAGATGGGCAGCTTGAACCAGAGAAATCTATTTTCTCACAGTTCGGGAGGCAACAGGTCCAAGAGGACGATATCCACAGGTTTGGCTTCTCACGAGGACCTCTCTCTCTGGTGACGTTGTCCGCACCGTGTCTTCACATGGCCTTCCACTGTGCGTGGGACCCTGGTGTCTTTTCCAGGTGTACAAATTGCTTCTTATCACCAGAGGCCATCACATTGGATGAGGGGTCCACTCCAGGGCACTCTGGTCAATTTTAAGGGCCAAACAGTGTCACAGTCTTGAGATGGTGGCGGTTAGGATTTCCACGGGTGGAGTTGGGGAGGACACAGTTCAGCACATCACATTCAAGTCACAACAGCCACGAAGGATGGGGGGACCCTGGTGCTAGGTCACTGTGTAGAGCACCTGGCTCAGTGCTCACGGTTGAGCTCCTCCTCTCCCTGGATTGGTAGGCATTGGTAGGGCTGGATACAGCCCGGGGTCCCCATTGTGGTTTCTGGAGGGGTGACTCAGAGAGGGGCCCCGGGACACCGTGAAGGTGGACAGGACCTGCCTAGGTAACTTGTGTGGACTGCCTGGCTCCACGTCTGATCCTCTGCAGACTGCTGTCTTCCTCTGTTTGTCTTTGAATTCCTCAATGCCTGGTGCATAGCTAGCATATTTGTGGAATGAATGATTCACTTTGACAGCCTTTTCCCTGTGGGAAAGTCACTTTCTGTGCAATGGAAGTGTCTAGAGACCTTCATCCTCCTCCTATCTTGAGCTGAAAGAGGTCTGGTCTCATCTCATGGTTGCCCTTTTGCTGTGTTTGATGTTCACATGCATAGGGATCATTGTTGAAGGGTTAGCATGCCCTGGGTACAATGGGAAGGCTTTACAAATCCCTCTCGTGATCCTCCTGGGACCCCCCAATGACTGGAACATTCTATAGATGAAGAATCTGCCTTCCCACCCAGCAAGCTCCCTAGCTGTCTCACGGTCACCTAAGCGAGCGCTGGACCAGGTGGGAAACCCAGGTCTCTAGTTATGAAGGAGAAGCCCTAAACCCCCCATGCATCCTGGCTTCAAACACAGTTCCTGCCCCAGCTTTGACAATGCCCGCTGCCTTTCAGGACGGATTTCCAAGGACAGTCCTCCTGACTATTCTGATCCTAGTGGCCGTGGAAAAACGGAGGCTGGACTCATGAATGGACTATGAGAGATTCCATGTCATTAAGCCAACGGGACACTTTCTAAAATCTTTGCTTAAACCCATCCTGCTAGCGAAGAAACCTCCATGCTGCCCTCAGTGTGGTCTCCGTTTCTGTTTGTTTCAGCGTTTGTTACTCCACGGGGACTGGGCAGGGCTTCTGGGTCCCCACATCAAGAAGAAGAAGAAGAAGAGGAAGAAAAAAATCCACAGAGGAAACTGCTTTGTGTTTTCTTTTGTCAGTTAGACTTGAGCGATGAGATTGTTCTTTTCCACTCTCTTTCTTCTCTGCCTTTTTTTTTTTTTTCCTAGCCATTTTTTAAATTGTCTTCACATTGCGCGGTCACAGCCCTGGTGATGCGCTGGGATGAGTTTGGTATTCAAGGTCTAAACAATGGGGTGACTTCAGGACAGTTTCAGCTTCCCTCTGACTCTCCTTGGTTTTGTGGGTTTAAGTTAATGCTATTTGAAAGTTTTTGTATGTGTGTGGTTGAATATATACTCTAACTTGTTCTTTTGTGACAACAAGATTTATCCTGGCGGTGTCTCTCATACCACTGGAAACTGGAAGGGGCCCTACAATGTGAGCCTCCACGAGTTTTAAAAAGACAGCAGCCCGTTATGGGGCCGTGATGGCTTCAAGCTGCCCTTGAGCCCAGGACAGGCTGGCTCGCGTGGGAAGGGAAGCGAGCACGTGGCCTGTTAGATGTGTAATACACCGCATGTGCATTAGGACACATTCTCCCCCTTCTTAATTAAGATTTCTTCAGCAAGACTGCAGTGGCCAGAGAAACCGATTGGATGGAATTGTGTTAAATACCGATTCATCCCAGGTTTCTGTTTGTTTTTTCACTCGAGACGACTTGGCTGAAGAGGTGCAGGGATTCGAACAAAATATAGATGCTGGCATTCCATTCTGTAGATCATCCTGGCTCCCACAGAGGCCCCCCGGTTAAACTGAGCCTGTGAGAGGTAGCTGTTTTATGCAGGGGCTGACAATACCAGTCTTTTATAAATCATAAATCCTCTTAACCTCAAACCATTTGGAACCACCAACTGTAATCTATAAGGTTTCATCTCACAGGGAGTTTATTACTTCTTGGTGCCTTTCGGGCCATTGGGCAAATATTTATATGAAGCTCTCAGCTACTAAGAGATTTAAAATCACTCAGGATACAATGGAAGCTTCTAGACCATGCCTTCTCAGTGGGAGCTTTGATATAGGTTTTGTGCTTTGCCTTTTGTTGAGTACTGTGTGTGAGTTTGATAGCCATTTGATCGAATTCTTTTGAGTGATAATTGTTGCTAGACAAATCCTGGACAGAGCTCGCTCTCCCTCTCTCTCTCTCTCTCTCTCTCTCTCTCTCTCTCTCTCTCTCTCTCTCTCTCTCTTACCTTTTGCCTTTCTTTTATGGGAGGAAAGGCAAGGTAGACAAATCATCACTGTGTAATTCTTGCTTTTTCTGCACTCAGTATTTATTTTCTTGAAA